AAAATCTACCAAAATCTGTCACCAAACTACACCAATATATATATATGTATAAAGTTCATGAGTTACTGCTACATCGTAATTTAAACTTAATTAGAGCCACTAGAACAAATCATAATGAATTTTATGCTGGGTTCAGATACTGAAAAATATTCAAGGCCTGAGCAAGGCCATAATAACAAAATATAAAAATGTCATCGGTATAACGCTTGTACAAAATACAAAGATGTCATCGGTATAACGCTTGTACAAAATGTAAATTTCCATCGGTATAACGTTTGTACAAAAGAAGATTTAAAGTGCACCACATTAAAATTCCGTTTCCATTTTAAGCACAGAGTTAATATAAAGCAATGCTAGCGATATGTATACCCAAATAGTTAAAACGTTTCTTTAGCGTCATCAGTCCTTAATCCAAAAGTGCATGTACTATTCACGTGTTCTCTCAGCAGTAACATAATAGCGCGGATATCTTCCAATACAAGTATGGTATCATAAGAAGCAGTAATATTCAATAAGCACATCATTGATCTAAGAGGAAATTCATCAAGAAAGTACTGTGGCTATCTAAGAATTCACTGTTGATGATAAATTGCAACTGGCTGAGAGAGAGAGAGAGATAATTCTTGGGAACAACCAGTTCTTCCGTACGGTGTGTTTGGCAAACAAATATAATAGAATTTGATAAACATACAAACGTAGCTGTGTGTCCTTTTATATACAGAATAATACGTGGTGCATAATTTGATGCTCATGCGGATATGATACGTTTTTATGTACAAAAGTGTAGTGAGTGTGACTTGTTGCGGTGTCCAGTTTTGTTCATTATATCCGATAAACAAATACAGTACGTGTTCGTGACTACAAAACAAGATGAAGTCTATAGTTTTGATGTATACAAAAAAGTGAAAACATTCTACGCTCTTTTCTGTCATATGAATTGATGTCAATGTTTATAAAACGCAAACAGATATAACACATTGTGTACAATGTATAAACGGATATAATCCATTGGTTCTTCACAAACATAAATAGAGCATTATTTGCAGTGTATAAACATGTATAATCCATATTTGATATGCAAACGGACGTATTTCATGATCTTTAATACATGTAAAATAGAATCAGGTTATAGATTTAGATGTGCAAAATCCATTTAGTAAAGGATGTCTAATGTGTGTATGTATGTGTGTATATATATATATAAATGAAGCACATGATTTCAAACATAGATACGTGTAGTACATGGTTTCTAACTTATACACAAATGAACTACAAGGTTTCTAGTGTTGTATACACAGTTATTAACGTACATGCAGAGAAAAGGTACAAGGTGTCTGATTTAGATGCAGGTGTAGTACATATAGACAGATAAAGTACGTGATTTTTAATGTACAGACGTGTAGTTCCTGGTTCTTTTGAATATACAGATAATATACACGATTTCCTACATAAAGGTGGATTTAGTATACGGTTCTTAGATACACACAGGTAAAGTGCATGATTTATGATGTATTGGGAGATGTAGTAAGTGGTTCTTAATGTACCCAAGTAATAAGTATTGTAAGGATTACAAAATAGTCACCTGGAATCACAGAAATAAAATATTATAATTTTTACACCACACCCACGATTGTTTTTGTTCATGCCTGAAATGCTTTATCTAAAGCCACAAAATAATGATTTGTTTGTTTTGAATTTCGCACAAAGCTACACGAGGGCTATCTGCGCTAGCCGTCCCTAATTTAGCAGTGTAAGACTAGAGGGAAGGCAGCTAGTCATCACCACCCACCGCCAACTCTTGGGCTACTCTTTTACCAACGAATAGTGGGATTGACCGTCAAATTATAACGCCCCCACGGCTGAATGGGCGAGCATATTCGGTGTGACGGGGATTCGAACCCGCGACCCGCAGATTGCGAGTCGAGCTCCCTAACCACCTGGCCATACCGGGCCTAAAATAATGACAGAACGAAAATAAAATGTGTAAGCGTTTAAACAGATAAAAAAATAAAGTAGGACCTGTTTACCTTCCCTTTTCAAGCGATCCGACATTGAAGGAGAGAAACCGTAGCTCAACGTAGTCTCCGTACGTGCCACCATCTGCTACGAAACTGACAACACAGAGAAAAGGTACGTGCCGGTGGAAAGGCTCGCTGATGTGTAGTCTGTACTTAACATTAGCTTCACCATTGAATGTCCTGTTGCAAGCTATAAAAAAAAAAGGAATTCGTGTTTATACGTGACTTTCTACGTCCAAAATAAATAAATCATTACGCTTTCTTTTTTATTACTGATGTTAGTTAAGGATATAAACAAAAGTTAGCACTTGTAAACATATTAAAGTAGTAATATTTCTATTTTATATCATGTTTACAATGTTTTAATATATGTTTAAATATTACCAATATTGTATCGTATGTTTTATTTCTTGTAATACTAAATTCGTATGTCTACCATATGTGTATAATGTGCAGTTCACGGGTTTAATGATAAATTTGATATACACTACAAATAATGGCCGTTGTAGAAACCAGAATGTTAATATTTATTAGGCTATAAGTGGTATATATAGCTACCGTATATTGAATACTTATTCAGCAGATAACAACAATATTTCTAGCAATAACTTTAACCCTATTTGCATATGGTTATATTAGTGGGATATCCTAGAATTATTAACCTGTAACAATACCTGATTATTACAGCAAAGTTTCATACATTCTTGCATCTTTATAGAATTATATTACTTCTACAGAATTCACAGCCCAAAAATCTCAATTAAGAAACTTTAAACATCTCGACTTTGTGGTCAAAGGCATATTTCTAAAAGGCTTTTTTACGAATTTTTAAAAGTGTACATAATTGTATTGTGTACTTAGGGTAAAGTTACAGAAGATATGCTTTCAAAGTCGCACTCCTCTTTTAAATAATAGTAAGATAAAACTGAGATCTCAATTTTTACTTGTACCTGTTTTCTCTGTAAATCCTGTAAGTGTTTACTAGTTGTGAGTCTGTCATGATAAACAACTACCTGCACTTACAGATAACTAAGTTTTTGTAATTTTAATATGTAGCAGTTGACATTAATAAGCTTTACAGGTTCAAACTATATGTGTTCGACCAATGTTAGACATCACAAAGTTTCTAATGATGCTCCAGATGGCCAAATGCACATTTGTTTGATGTAACATTTTTATACTTTTCCAAATTTTGTATAATCATAATGTTTCCAATAAACATGTATATAACAGACGACTAATCCTCTGTGATAGCAGTTTGGTGTTTTTTAAATATGTTTAATAAAATATATAAAATATAGATAGGCTCTATTTTCCTTCTTTAAGCCTTGCATGGGTTCCACACTATATTAATATAACCATACCTAAACTCGAAGCATTTAATCCGCCGATTTTTCTTTGAGGCCCATTAATGAAAGTTTCAGAATACTGTAGATTTAGACTTGAAAAATATTCAGTTTATCAGGCCTTACATCCCCTCCTAAACTTGTTCTCATTACAACGAAACGACCATCTAAAGGTCATTTATTAAATCAACACACACAACACGTTACAGATGTGTAACGTTACTGATGTGAAAGATCTTTCTACTTCATTCCAAAAACCGTGTCTGTGTATTTACACCTGAAAGAACTGAATCAAGAAAGGATTATTATTGAATTTTCTAGCTGATATGAAATACAAATAAAATAATTAAATTACAAGCGTAAAGTATGTTTTTTTGCGAACATTATAAGATATTTCGAGGTAGATACACACTTAAACATCTTTAAGTGTGTAAAGTAAACAAAAAGAACGATAGGTTATTCAAACATTTCAAATGTGTGGTAGCGAGTTGTTATGTTGATCATCGTGATCTCTTGACTTTATGGTTGATTTTTTTGTGAATTATGGCTGAGCCGGTTGTAATTTGTTTGATATATTTGTTTAGAGATTTTTTAATACACATAAACTTACAAATTTTTATGTCAGTCTGCTGTGGGCTAGTGATTAGTGTGTCGGCCTGTGTTTCGAATGATCCAAGGTTCGAAACGTAATGTTGTTGAGCATGCTCTACACTTTTAGTCGCTTTAAAGATATCAGTCAATCAAGCCGAATAAGTTCTTCGTGGCGGCGAATACTACTGACTGGCTGCCTTCCCTCTCGTCGGTACAAAAAAGTTAGAAATTATGGATGACTGAAGCTAGACCATAAACCTAACCGTTTATTTTGTATGCATATAAGCTGTTGTTCAGGTTTAAAATTCCAATTCCTTACACCAAGATGAATTATTTGCATGCACCTTGTCGTGTAACTTCTTATATTTATAGCAATACGTCTATCCCTAACTGAATTTGTCTCAGTGACCTCTTTATCTTTCTGTTTACTCTAATCGATAACATTGTGTAATATTTATTGTCTGATTTAATGTATGATACACAGAACATGTCATACATATTGATAAAGCACAAGTCATCTCGTTATCTAGAAATGAAGAAAGATCAAATATTAATATGATGTATGCACTACTCGTGAAATATTAACATTGTATATTCTCATGAAATATAGATGTGATATTTGTTCAAATACTGAAATTGTGTTTATACCATCCTTAATGTAACTATAAAGTGAATGTTTTTAACAGTAATCTCCAAATTATTCTACTTGCTGAACGGGAAAAGTAGACAGAAAATAGAAAGGTATAAAGATAGGTTTTAGTTGTTATTCTACATTTTTGTAGTTACTTTATCTTTTATTTTTAGTGTTGTAGAAATAATTTATTAAATGAAATAAGTCGGTTCAAAATGGAAAAATGCGTTTATAGTTTAAACACGGAAAATCGGTGAGAAGTTGAATAAATCTGTCTACGGTTTAAATACAACAAATAAGTGTGAAGTTCATTAGAGATATCTATAGTTTAAACACGATAAATAGGTGAAGCTCAACAGTGGTACTGTTAGTTTAAACATAAATATAGGTCAAGTTAAACAGATGTCATGGAGACTTAAAAAAGAAAAATAATTGAATTAAGACTTTAATATATACGCATTGTTCGATACGCTCTGTAAGTTATAATACATAAAACTTACAACATACTAAATAAAACCAACCATATTTATAAAGACTAAAAAGCATATAATATACATATTATGTAAAGGTTTTGTGGCAAGCAAATATGTACTTAATTTGACTATTGTTTAAATACTTGTGAAAATAATTTCAAAACTTTCGTAAGGCACTAAATTACAGAAACGGTAATTTTAAAACAGAAACGTTAGACTATTCATACTATTCAAACTAGCTTGTTTCTTCCTTTCTTTGTAGCTTATAACCATTTAGACGTTGTATAATGGACTTTCTCGTGCACACCTTCTGGTTTAGTTTTCTAGTGGACAATGTTTTTATTCTTCTCCTGAAACAAAGTACCTGATGTACGAAAAGTAATTCATGATTTCGTGTTTACTTGTGGCGCTAAGAGCAAACGGAGCCATATTTTAGGCTTGGTCTTGCTATTAAGAAAACTTCAGACATAGCACGATATATATATCCTCGTAAACATAGCGTACTGAGCTCAATTTCGGTCCAGATTTTAACGATTAGCCATTAACTATTTCGTGGAACGTATTGCATATCTCATGTTAAATATAGTCTTTAAAAAATTCTGGAGGAGGAGAGAGAGAGTGAGTCTCTCGTAAAGCCATCAGTCTAACGTTATTATAACTCATAATAACTATAAACTTATCCTGAACTTGAAAACGTATTTACTTCCATTTCATGTTTGGACCAAAACTCATAAACTGAAGATAGAACGACACTCCAGCATTGAAGGCTTATTCTGGACAGTAATTTTCATGTTCTATGTTCGCAGTAATTAAGTGGGAATATTTCTGATTCACTAACGTCTATACCAAAATAATTGCTTGAGTTTTTCTTGAACATTCATTACTTGTTTTGTTGAAATGATATCATCATCTGTCATTACTTTCTCACGTTCAAAATGAAGGATACAGCGGTGGCATCAAAGTGAAAGATAAATGGAAGTATTCGTTAACTTTGTAATTAATTCAATCTAAAGGTATATGTTAGCTGTGTAATTATTGATTTTTTATGGCAAAGTCCAACCACTGAATCTACCATTAAAAATAAAATTAATTATGTTATTATTAATAATAAATAATATTTATTATTTAATTGTTATAAAGATTGTAGATAATTGAATATTGTTCACTTTGGTGTTAAATAATTAGGTTATACAAATTTGTCTCATAGGAATTTTGTAATGATTGTTCCTGAAAAATATGTTTCTTTTCCTAGTTTCAAGGGGTTGATGTCAGATAGACATAGAAGTTGTGTATCCAGAGTTTACAGAAGCTTATGATAATAATGATTCAACATACCAAAAAGTGTTTAATAATTCACTGGTCTAATAAAAGTTTTTATTTGCAATGGTCAGTCCAAATATAAATAAAAAGATAGTGCTTATTTTTCATTAATTTATTTGTTATTTTATTACTGGATGTCTATTATTAGTAAAAATTGAAGACAACTTTAGATAAAGCAAGAACCCAACACTGTTAGTAACGACATTATTCATAATATTTTTCAAATCTTAGCAAGAAATTCTTATTGCAATATGTAAAGGCTTCATCATATTGTCAAAAATCTGATATTCGAAACAACGTCGTTATTCACCATTTATCAAAATAGCAGTAGTCATATCACGAAATAGAATTTTCCTGATATAACTGCTCTAAATTATGAAATGACCATCTTACCTCAATATCCAAACCAAACAGAAAAACGAAACATATAACGATATATTTTTAGCTGTTACTATGCATTTGTAATTACTTTAACTTCTATATTTAGTGTTTTAGAAATTCCTGGTTAGGTGAAACAATTTGGTTTGAAATGTAAACATTTGTTTATAGTTTAAATGTGGAAAATAGGTGTGAGGTTGAATAGATGTGTTTACAAATAAACAGGAAAAATAGGTGCGAGGTTGAATAGATGTGTTTACAGTTTAAACACGACAAATAAGTATGAGGTTGAATATATATGTTTACAGTTTGAATACGACAAATAGGCGTGAGGTTGAATAGATGTGTTTACAGTTT